CAAAAAAGGACCCTGTTGGGTAATTTCCAGTGTAAGTTGAAGTCATAAATGTTTTCTCACACTCATATTTGTTCAGTAGCAAAAAAGAAAAAAATTTCAAAAGATATGGAAAACGAAAAAGTCAGATAACGGCTGAGAGAATAATAAACTGACTTAAATAAATTGAAAGCAATCCGTTTTGATTCTGTCCCAAAATTCCATTCTTGTTTTGTTCTAGTTCTGCGACCTTTTGGTCTTCTCCTCCTCCCTTTTACCTTTCTCGTAACTCAAGAACATCAAAGACATGAAGGAAATGCTTCAGTATTTTGAAGAATTCTGGAAAACATTCTAACTTTAGCAAAAACACTTTTCTCTTAGCTCAGAAGTAGAAGCTGACCAACAGTGAGCTTTTTACACAACCGATAGCGCATTCGTAGTTCTATTCGTACGAATGACCCACGGCACATAAACAGTTGAATTGCGCCGTCGCAGCTTCAGTGTAATGTAGAGATTTTTCTGCGATGACACGTAAAATAAAAAACATAGCTATGGGAAGCATATGTGTTCGTAGTAGAAGTGAAATGAGATTACAAAATCAAGCCCGTTTAAAAAAAACCTTTCCGAGACAGCCAAACGATGTAGCAGACATATAGAAAGTGGAGTAAGGTTGTAAAACATAAATCACTTCTCCTTCTTCTTCTACTTCAAGAACTTACCAACTGACTATCATTTTTGCAAACTCATCTGTTCTCGGAATGCACTAGTGTTACAGCGTACTGGGTTCAAAGGAAAAGTGGAAGCGAAAAGACTTTCCACTGGATTACCGAAAAATGTATACCTGACCAGATGGTTTTTTGAAGGAAAAAAAGTGGAGGGACATCTATTATCAAAACAAAATTAAAGTCGTAAGCAGTTGGAAAACTAGAAGATATTGGATTCCCATCGAATAGAACGAATCGTCTCAATAAATCTAATTTCATGAGCAACACAATCTCGAAACGAGACCGAATTCAGCAAATTGTCTTTGTTCTTCGGACTGTGCAATTAATTTAGAATGAAACAGAAAAGATATCGTTGAAAGTTCACTCAGGTATTTGCGTGAGGTAGTCAGTTCGAGTTCACCTTTGGTTTGTTTTCTGCATTCGTGAACGAGAATGATGATCTGTTCTATCCCAAGATGACAGTGCAAAATAGAAGTATTGTTTAGGTCCGACAGGTCGAGGTAACTAATGCATGGGTAAACTCCGTCCTAGGTATCACTAGATCTTTCAGCTTGTGTTATTTCAATTTGCACTGATCGATTAGACATAGAAAACTTTAAAAAAAAGAATTACACTCTAAAATAGCAATAAAATAAGCCAACAGTGAATGGATTAAATTTAAGACAAAATATAAAATATGAGAGGGCCTGGCCTGGTAGAACGCCCTTAGTTTCTCTTTGACTAATCGCAAGATTTGCATTTATCACAAAGATCACTATCATCCAAAAAAGCAGTAAACGCTCCTGTGATTCAAGAAGATCGGCCACTAGTTGTGATGAAGATCTGGGAACGTCCTGGCACTACTATCTCAGAAAGACCACGTTCGACCAACAACTAACACAAAAGTGAGGAGCAAGCAAGCCATGCCTCCACATTGGAGCAATAATAAAACGTCACGAGAACCGGATCACCCCTATGAACGATGGTTATATGACAAAGAGATGAGTGAAAGAAGTGCTGTAGCCGGCATGGAATGTGAGAACTGGTCATCTCTGTGCATTCAATTAAACACGACATGTTCCACAAACGATATAGGTGCAGATGATTATTTAGCAAAAAAGTAGAACGTCGCACTGAATGGCAATTTTCGTAATAAAAATAAAATATAGACGAATGGGCATAAAGTTGAAATAAATAAGCTAAAAGATGCCTAAGTGAAAAGTTGAAGGAGAAATGCCGGCGCAGTAGAAATGTAGCTCAATCACGGCTGTCTGAAAAATGCGCTCTTCTCCATAGTGGTGTTAATGAGGTAATTTAGTCGACATTCGTTTCACATTTGTTGCTCAAATAACCATCATAAACCCTTAGCACAAGGCTACAATATAATTGTTCGGAATCATCGAAATCACGTTGATTATCAGTCTAGTCAATCGTAGATAGTGATGTTAAGGATGTTCGAATGGATCTTGAAAAGAAATTGAGAACTCGTGACAGTGAGCGATTTTCGAAAGGAGATTTTGTTAGGCATTTCCATTCCTCTCTTTGGATGATTTTGCAAGCTCCAAACGAAAAATTGGCGCTCATGTCCTGCACGTCAAGGCGGCAAATCCCACGGGGCACTTCTGACATGCGCCGAGGATGAACGACATTGTGGAGGCTTTATTGGCGCCCGTTCGAGTTAGAATGCTGTTAACGAGACTAGAAATGTGAGCAGGGTGATGAAATCTTTCTCAAAGAGACTTTAGTTTGACCATCCAGAAAGGGCAAATGAAAGAATATCAGCGTTTTGCTTCAATTCCACTCTAAAATAAAATATGTGTTGCCTTTGCGGAAGAAATTAGTTCAATAAAAAGTAGACTTAATTATCATTCAGGTGCATAAAAAGTTATAACTTCACGAAATAAACCACTATTCATAGAGGATCAATTAAAATCTGATGATATAGGCAGATAGAGATCGACGCATGTACCCTACTTTTCAATTTGTTCACTAGGCTTTTTCTAGATTTCACATCATACTTGGAGCTCTAGTAAAGTAGTAGTAAATGTCCCATTCTACATTATACACGAAAAACTAGTTCGACCCAGCCTAGGCAAACTAAGGCTTTAATCCCTCTGGCATCAGAAAATAGGTTCTAGACTTGTCTGGGAAGGTTGCACCGATAGAGACCAAGGAGCGGCCTAGCACTGCTATACCAAGACTCCAAGAAGGATCAACTCGACCAGCATTCAACGACATTCATTAAACGGAACAAAGTCCTCAAGAAGCAGCCGAATTTACGCCAAAATTCAGAGGAATTTGTAAGCCAAAAATAAGAGAAAAAAGCAAATGAATGCAAAAATGAATCACACAGAATATGGTGCTTGCGGCGGAGATTGAACACGCTGTTACCCGTTCTGGAGGCTAGCACGTTCGCCACCACACCTGTGAGCCCTCCGTTTCGCCTTTCTCTCAGCCGTGTTATCGACCTATAGGCGCTAACGGTAATCATCCAATCACTACTAAGTAAGTACTTAAGTGAAGCACAATGGGAGGTCAGTTCTAAAGAGGTATCAACAGAATGTAAACAGTAGGTGTTTTGGTAATAAACACACAGCTGATGGGGGCAACGTCGTGAAATCACTGTCGCTTTTTTGCAATGCATTGGTCTGCTAAGAATAAAGAGTTAATTTGTTCATTATTTTGATCCGACGCATATCGCTAGTTGGCTATTTGTACAGGCCAGTTCTTCCTCACCCTCATCTGCGTTCACAGCTTCGGCCAATTTTTATATGAATTTCGCACAACGTTTTATCGGTCATCCGTGAAGTTATTGCTATTACCACTACTATTGTAAATGATTAATTACTATTATTGCAACCACATCGAAGATTTTTACTAAATAAGGTAAATATGAAAAATAAGGGCGCGTGTGGCGCAGTGGTTGGAGGCGCCGCTGCGACACACACGTAGAATCGATCACCGCGCCCAAGGCCCAACAAGCCTTCCATCCCTCAGGTTCGGGGTCAGCAAATTGGTACCAGACTTGTCTGGGAACACAACAGCACTGGCCCGATATATCGGCAAGCCACCGCGAGTCATTGTAAAGGCCAGACATGCATTCACTCACCTCCAACGATACTTAGTGAAGTTGAATGCATGGTGCATCGCTCAGGGATTGATCGAAACCGAAACCTTTATCATTTTTTTATTTTATATATAAAAATAAAGTAATAACAATAATATAAACAAGTAATAATAATACGTTGAAGCAGTCAGCTCGGTGGTAATGATCGCGTTCACTCTGCGAGCAGCCCAACCTACCTAGGAATTGGTTCGACAGCGCGCCGCCCACGGCTTTTCAGGATTCCAAGGACCACCGACTCGACCGGCAATCAACAACACTCGTGATGACAAAAAAATCCTCAAGCACTAGTCAAACCCACATGCAAAAAAAAGTTCGCAGACCTTCGTAAATGGTGGATGTGAGGAAAGGAATCAAATGCAAGAAGTGCTAAGATGCACACAGGGTGACATGTCTGCCCGGACATATAGTAGTAATAGCAAACTAATAGTAAGTTTATAGTAATAAAATTTTTATTGTTAACTCATACTAGTTTATCTACTAAAAAAATACTAATCAAAGTTAAATGCTGCTAGTTCCATTCCGCTGCGGGCCAATCGAGCCTCTCATCCCTTCGGGGCCGAGAAATTAGTACCGAACTTGATCAGAAAAAAATTCACTCTCTGCAATACAATTGGAAACGTCCCAGCTCTGCTATCTCAGAACTCCAAGGAAAATCTAGTCGACTAGCATTCTACGACATTCAAGATGAAATGGAAATCCTCAAGCAGCAACCAAAGCCACACGTAAATGGTAGAAGATCTTGGTGCAAACAAGGATGCTAGGAAACGAATCGAATATGAGAAGTGCTGGAATCCGCACAGTAGACGTAAAGACGGGTCATGTAAATAAATAAATAAATAAATAAATAAATAGCAATAATATTAACGATCACAGCGATTCTATTGCATTAGCTATTACTATTTCATTTTACGATGGATTCCTTTCCCACGCAATTACATGCTTTCTCCCACTTTATCTTCGTTGTTGTTCACTTCATATTTGTCACTAACCCTATCGAATTCAACGAAAATTTTACTTTTGATCAGTGTAGTCGTCACAGGGAGAAAGCCTCACATTTCCGATTTTTATGCATTCGTCTATTGTGGCTATGATGCTTGTTAATGAAAAGAAACGGCAATTAAGTCCATAATGATTTTGATGGGAAAAAAGTCAAGAAAAAGAGGAAAAAAAATGTACAGAAAAGAATAAAATCGCTAACTTGGCTGATGATTAGGCGCTTCACATTCGAGTTTCGCACCACCATTGTAAAGAGGGACAACCGCACTACGGTGTGGACGAAATGAATCCAAAAACGCCGGTTTCAGAAGAATCGGCGTACCTCTGAATACATATCGATTCATTTCTATAGACTTGTCTCATAGTTAAATAACATCATCATTGATTTTAAAGCAAAATCTTTAAGGTTTGGAATGAATATTCCCACTCTACATCGCAGCTCGACATCCAGCAACACCTCCGAGCCACGACGAGGCGCTAAACCGTTGGGAGGATTGTAGTAAATAAGAAATAAAAAATAAGAAACGTTCTGATTTTTGACAACTGGAAAACGATTTTAGGCAAGAAAAGTTCGGAAAAGGCTTTTTCTAAATACAGGAATCGAAAAATATCACAATGAAAACCCACTTTACTTCTCCAAGATGATTTTTTGCGGTGCAATGAAAAGATGAATAAGCCAACGAGCTATCTGCTGGAACCAAAAGCGATCCACCGGAAAGAAGATATGGAACCTCCGAATCGGATGGTGTCACCTAAAACGACGAAGTTTATTTCTTAATAATAACAAAGAATAACAACTTGAAATAATTTAAACAATTTTAACCTGTCACACTGACGCTCTTTTTCATTTTCATTTTTCGATTGAATTCTTTGATCGACTCAACCATCACCTCTATATCTTTCACTAAGTGTTCAGGTGTAGTTAAAAAACATGTGAATAATTTTATCTTCTTCTGCTTTTTGGTCCTTTCGTCTTCTTCTCTTTGGTCCCGAACCTAGACTGACACGCCTCCATCATAGCCCGCCACATGGCTACTCCGTTTTTTCTTTTTTAATTTAGCTCTTTTCCGAGGTTCATTACCAGCCAAATTTCCCTGAAATAGGCCTTAACGAAAAAGATTTGCATACATGGGATAGCCGACGAAGAGGATAGTAATGGCAAAAAATGGCTTGCTGGCGAAGAAAAACTCTGGTGAAAAAAATTCGAGGCCATTTATGGCACGATAACGACTTCTTCAAGTGTTCATTCATAACCATTGGCATATTTTTTTGTCGTCTACCAAAAGAACAAAAACAGTTTTAACCACTTTGAGAAATCAAGTCAGAAACAGCTGATAGTCATTTTTGCTTACAAGACCAAATTTTAAAAAGTGCTAGCTATGAGGTTTGGATCAATTTCAGAATTACAGTAGCTTTGGCGCGATTTCTCCTACTTCCAACCTAAGACATTCTTCCCCTTGAAAATTCTCAACCACATAAACACCACATACTGCTTGCAAAAAATGATATAGAGCTTAAAAAGGCAAAAAGTTCAATTTTAATGTATAAGTTCGTAACAATGATCTACATTTCCTAAATATTCCCACTGAAATAGAAATATACATTGACCTGACCTTACTTTTTTGCTACGTGATCTTCTTCAAGACCTTACTGTAATCATGACTCTGCTATTTGTAATGGATAGTTCTTAAAAGATTCATGAGCCAATGTTCAAAAGTGTCGCTCGTTGTAGCACACTTTTAAGTGCATCGATATTTTTTCTTGTCTGCTCTATTTTGGAACCCTAAGCCACTGTGAAAGGAGTGGAACCAGATGGGACAACTACCAATTCATTTGTATGGATCGGAGAGAGAGATTTATCGCCTTATGATCATTGTTCACGCAGAGCGAGCTGCAACGATTCTTGAATCTTCTTCACTCCTACACTGGTCTTGGGATGGAAATGTCTAAGTAATTTTCGGCAAAGCTAACCCTTTATGAGGGTGGATCTCAGATGCACAGTACGGCTCAACTGAGAAAAGAATTCGTCACCTTGGTAAATCAAGGAACCCTAGGAGAAATAACGAATTCTTCAAAAGATCTATTGTTTCCTTGCATCCTGTTTCTCCTATTTTCTTCATTTTAGCTCCTTCTTTTCTTTCTCTCCATTTTTTTTTGTTCTACATGAAAAAAGGGTGAAAAGGATCGTATCTTAAAGGTTCGCTGCGAATACCATGGCTAAAATAAAGGATCACCGCTATTGAAAACCCTATGGATCGATCAAATGATGATTGCTGTCGTATTCGGAAGCTTGCATGAACGTCTTCCTTTATCTCTCCTCCCCTTTATTTTCTTTCTTTTTTCTTTCCGTTATTTTACTTGCCTTTTACAAAGTAGATAAGAAGGCCATCATTAAGTTGTAATAATGTTTCGGTTTTCATTTAGCGCCCATTATTTCCTTCACGGCAGTGCATTATGTGAGATGTGCTTTAAGCTGTAATAGCTACGTATCAGTAGCGTTGCTGTCAACGACCATTGTTCCTACTTGCTTAATTCAGTTAGCCGCAACAGTGCACGACTGTTTTCATGCACAGACAAGACAAGAGAAATTTATGTGATGTAATACAACTGCGAGGATGTTGACGTACGAGTAAAGCAAAAAATTGGCCGAGAGAAAGGGAAAGCAAGGACGTCGGTTGATGTGGTGAATAGCACGCGAGCTCGGTAAACGGTAATCGCGGATTCGAAGCTCGACCTAGGACTCGGGTTTTGCTCATGTATCAGCAACAATGTGATTGAATTTTACATAATGTCCAGCCATGAAAAAAATGAGATGGCAATAAAAGGGATAGGAACAAATCTAATTTCAGGTATCGCTTTACACTGGCGATTTCCATTCTGTCTCGCCCCTATTTTCGAAATGCTCAGCGAACGCGAGCTCACCACTTCGATCTCATTTCTGAACCAGGTAATGTTAGGTGCTGGTTGACCAACAGCAAAACACGGCAACACCACATAATAGGCATCAGCTCGTGAATAGAAGAACACCTCTGACGGCGAGGGCGACACCATACGAGGAGCGCCTAAACGAAGTTTCTTAAGTGGTTTCTACCAATTGTGGATACGTATTCTCAACGTGATCTCAAAATACCAAGATTTTCAGCTAATAAAGATACAAATTTAAGGCAATCTAAACACTATCCTTGCAAAAAATGTATTCTTTTTTCGCAAAGGGAGTGGAAACGAGAAAACGAGCTGAAAATATTTGAGAAAGGTTCATTGGAAACTGTGTAATAACCTATTTTCCTCCTTCTTACTTCAGCTGCATTTTAGCAAAGCTAATAGTTACTTGGAAGAATTTTCAGTCACTAAGAAGTGCCTGAAAGTGCTAGAAATAATATTAATTCGTTGTTCTTAATAAGGACATACAAGGATATTATTATTTATTGTATTTATTGACAATAAGATATAGGTAAGGTTTTGGTGGATTTGGCCCTCTTCAGAGCCTGGAAAAATCAGGCTAACTGCAACCTGGTCAATGAAACATCTTCATCACCCAAGAGTAAAACCACGACATGTCACAGAGAGTGATGATTGTATGAGGAAGCTGTGTTTTGCTTCCAATGCGATTGAATTTCTGACAACGTGATTCCTCTGTTGAGGGTATAGATGCATATTTATTTATTTATATGATCTTATAAACTGATCTTTTTAAGCTGACGCGAGATTGGTACAGGTCTTCGTTGTCGTTGTTGTTGATGTTATTGGTCGATGACCGACGTTTCGGCGACTTCGCCTTCCTCAGAGCCTGGACGTATTTTGTATTAGAATATTTTTATTATTCGGTGAAAAGAAAGGTCAAAATATTAATGAAGATCAAACTTTAAAATTTTCAAATAGACGCTATATTGAGCAGAAAGGCCACTCACCGTGATGTTACGTGTGGGACTGGCCCACACGTAGTTCACGTGGGGTCGCGAGCAAGACACACCCCGAGATCAAAATATCATTTTGAAATAGGGCGCCAGGTCACGCGTGATAGTGAGGTCTCTCCGGGTCATCTTTGGATTTTTGAAATGTACCCAAAACGCCTCAAGAGTTTTGCGCGTTGATGTTTTTGATTCCTAATGTGTAAAAATGTGTGCACAGGAGGAGAGGAAAAGAAGGAATAGCAAAACCTGACACAAAAAATAGCCACTTCCATTGGCTACGAAGTAAAAGCGACTCGGGTTAGACAAAAACGTAGAGTAGTTTTCCAAAATAATGTTTCGGACCTAAGTAAGATATTTCGAACGTAAGTAAGATCTCCTTTAAGCTACCCTTCATATCAAATGAAGTAAGTCATGCCATTAAAAAGTGCTTAAGAAAAAGTGGTCTTGAAAATTATGTAACGATTATTGACATCCGACCCAATACCCTAAGCCGTAAGTTGGTTAGAAACCGTCTCTATTATCGTTTGTGCTTTTCAGAAAACTGTATGATCTGTCCTAACGGGAGAGAAGGAGATTGCATGAGGTTAGTTGTAATATACTTGATCTCATGTAACGCATGCGGCGAGGAATATATTGGGGAAATGGGTAGACCACTTTGTGTCCGCATAAAAGAACATCTAAATGGGAAAGTTAAAATTTATCAAAACACTCCTCTAGGTACGCATAGGGCACAGAAGTACAACGGCGATGATTTTGAAGTGAATGTGCGGATCCTAGCGCAGGAATCGAAAACATCAACGTGCAAAACTTTTGAGGTGTTTTGGATAAATTTCAAAAATCCAAAGATGACCCGGAAAGACGAATGCCTCACCATCACGCGTGACCTAGCGCCTTATTTCAAAATGATGTTTTGACCTCGGGGTGTGTCTTGCTCACGACCCCACGTGAACTACGTGTGGGCCAGTCCCACACGTGACATCACGGTGAGTGGCCTTTCTGTTCAATATAGCGTCTATTTGAAAATTTGAAAGTTTGATCCTCATTAATACTTTTTTTCCACCGAATAATGAAAATATTCTAATATAACATACGTCCAGGCTCTGAGGAAGGCGAAGTCGCCGAAACGTCAGCCATCGATCAGCAACACCAACAACAACGGCAACGACAACGACAACGAAGACCTGTACCAACCTCGCGTCAGCTTAAGAAGATCAACTTATAAGATCACATAAATAAATACATCAACTATCTATGCCGAGGTTTATAGAAAGTCGGTCTTTCGAGGTATAGAGGCGCTTGGTTGACTACTAGATTGCAGTTCACTTGAGTTTTTCAGGATCTAAAAAGTGTATAATTCTTCGTGGCGTCATCTAATGTGAGTAGATATTGTAACAACAACCTTGTGTGTGCTTATCAATAAAACATCGAACGACTGATCAGTACCGAGATTAGAAGGAAGGCGAGGTTGAGAATGCCACTGTTGCAAAAAATAGCATGCATTTTAGAGATATGAACAATCCACTTCGTATCACATGGGAATTAGCCGAATTTTCAGTGTAACATGAAACTAATCCACTATTTTTTCCTTCCGTTTTCCCATTAGCCCTTTAGACGAGTTTCGGAGAAGGTAGAATTTTCATTGGGTATTAAGATAAAAAGGACAAAATGGTGTACGGATTGGTAAAAAAAGAAAACTTTTTTTGTAAAGACCGTCTGTTGTGAAGGGAAACTGGTTATCCTGTTAGAATAGCTGATTCGGAAACTCATATTCTACGTCTGCCAGGACATTCAGTAAATTTGGAGTGATGATAGGAAGGAAGAAGTCAGTGAGTAAGTGGAAGACAGCAACTAGTATAAAAGAGCGCCGATGGGTGAGTATGGCTCATTGGAGATGTTCGACTGAGTAAGATCCGGTCCGATGTGAAACGAAAACGCCGCATCGAGAAGAGGAACAGCTATGGGCCAACGGGAGCATCGAAAAGGATCGTCAGCTCTGATGAAGACTAATACGTCGAAATGTTAGCCGAATAAACATTTCTATCAACCTCGTGTAAGCTCAACAATATAAACACGGCAACCAGTGTTGCTAACAACCTTTAGGACCCCAACGAAGTCCGCAAGTCATTTTGGTGATTTCTATCTGTTTACTCCATGCATCTGAATGCTACGCAGCAGAAACATTGCTTCATACATTGGCTACATGATAACAGCGGGTAAGAGTGTAATATATGTTTCCTGAGGATAAACCGACCCATTTGACTTCAAGCCGGTTTTCAAAGTTAAGAACGCTGGAAAAAATCTCATTTCGAACGCGACGTAGAATAGATTTCGAAGAAGAAACATCAGTAAAGCGGCGCTACAATGAGAAAAGGAAACGTGTGCACCACGAAAAAGGGTATTCAGCCGAATTCAAACAGAATTACAGAGACTTCGAGGGATATTTTAAAAGACTGCAATGACGACTTCGATGCCAACCTAGAAAAGCTGAACTCACATCTGGCGTCTACTACTTCAGTTTTACATAACCGAACTAGATAAAAATTACTAACACGGAGAATGACAGCATGAGAGTAACGAAACGTGTGAAGAAAAGTGCTGAAGTGCAAAGCAAATATGAGAAGGACAAGATAGGTAACCAACTAGGACTCCAACATTCATATATTTCCGCATTGCCTAAGACATTCCATTGAATTATCAGTCTATTAAAAAGAGTTTCATAACAGAACGCTTGTATCCGAAGTTTGCAGTCACCACCACATGTAGATCGCCAGTAGGTTCATCATATTTCATGCAAATTCATTCTAGAATGGTATCCAATTCTAATATTACTCTGCTTTTAGCCGAGTTTCCGAATGAAAATGTAGAACGAGTTTCGAACTTGAGTAACTCTAGATTGTTGAGAAACTCTGGTGTATATTGCAGATTCGACTTTTTTAGTCGACTTTATTCGACCTTACTATTGTTGAATCTAAACTAACAAAAGGCAAAGAATTTTTTTTATTAGAAAAATTTCTGAAAATTTTGAAGATTCTCTTGCCTGGACTTAGGAAGGCTTCTTGAATGAGCAGTGACCGTTTTCCGATTTCGGTGAGTGAACATATAAAGGGAAAAACGGCCGAGGAAGGTACATCAATCCTAAAATACCTTTCAGAATTAATTAATGAAGGGCTTGAGGTAAATTCCAAAATGAAGTTTCAGTAATATGTAGGATTACATACTTGTATATATATATATATAATATTAAAAAGCGCGTGTGGCGCAATGGTTGGAGGCGCCACTGCGACAACACGCTTGGAATCGATCCCCGCGTTCTTGGCCCACCAAGCTTTCCCTACCCCCGGAGTCGGCCAATTAGTATCAAAATTGTCTGGGAGGAGAGCAGCACTGGTTTGATACATCGGAAGGCTACCGCGAGTCATTATAAAGGCCAGATATGCATTCAATCACCTCGAACGATACCCAATAACGTCGAAAGCATGGCGTATCCCTCGGGAATAGATCAATGCCGAGAGGTTTATCCTTTATCCTTGCGTATAGTATCAGTTGGTGGTTATCGCAGTGGTAGCGGTGCCGATTATCATGGGCACGACTCATGCCCGACATCGTGCTGGGCTCACCAACCCTCCGGCGTCGAGAAATTGCTGGTACTAGGCTTGTCTGGGAAACGATTACCCTCCGCAATCCAAGTGGAAACGCTCTAGCCAAGTTATCCTAAAGTTCCAAGGAAAATCGAATCCAGCAGCATTATACGACATTAATGACGAAGGGAAAATCTTCATGGAGCAACTAAACCCTCTCCCAAAAAAGTTGGAAGACCATCTTGGGTGATGGATGCGATGAAACGAATCGAATGCAAAAAGTGCCCGGATCTGCACAATACACGTAAAAGAAATAGCAAAAGAAGGAAAAAATCAAGTTAAAAAAGTTTGGAGAATCTTTTCCATAAAAGCGAAGTTTCACAACACCTAGAAAAATGTAATAAATCAGGAACAAACTTAGAAACGTACAATAATAAGTAATGGATTTCTATATACTCTATCACTATCCTTTAGCAACCTCAACATGATAACTCGAAAGACCGACTTTCTATGAACCTCGGCATAGATAGTTGATATATTTATTTATGTGATCTTATAAACT